CATGGCTCTGCTGGCTGCAGAGGGGTGTGTTCCAACCAGGGGGGCAAAAACCAGCTCGGCCATTTACGGGAGATTCCAATTTCTCCGCGTCAGTTGGTTGGGTGATATTCGCGACGGGCAAGATGTGGCACACTCTATTGTTCAACAATAGAAGCACCCGTTCGGTCGTCGGAAATAATTTACCAATAATAGGTTTCTCTTGAGCAATACGCCGAATAATTTTCTTTGGGTGAACATTGTGATTGGATGTCCTGACAGTAGATAACATTTCCGGGGAATTCGTTCCGGTTTTGGGCGGTCCGCCGGATTCGTTGACAATGCAACGCAGCCAAAGAGGGCAACACAGAAGTTCGACCAGTCAATTGACTGGTCGAAATCATGTGTCGCCTAGTCTTTCATCAAGTAATTGAACTCGAATTTCGGCCTCTCGGTTGACCGTTTTTAGCACTGTCTCGGCGTCCGGGTGGCGAACCAATAACACCACACCTGAAGCAGCAGTAGTAGTAGTAGTAGAAGAGCGCGATCACGCCGATCGCTGACAACAGCAGCGACAACTACCGAGGACAGGCGGCGCGCTAGGCGGCGGCCGTGCTCTCGCGGTCCACATCAGGGCTGTACTTGCCACCCAGAGATCCACCCAGAGATAGAGAGAGGGAAGGCGAGCGCAGAGAGCGACGAACGGGCCATATAGCGAGGTGAGAGTCACGCTCGGCGTGCATTCCTCGCGGAAGTCTAATCTTGCCGTTTTGGACGCGCTGGCACTGAGTTTGCCGTGTGTCTCGATGCAGCAAATGTCGCCTTTGTTGCAGGCACACGTCGAACACACCTGTGCGTGTGTATGTAGATACGAACACAGCTGTCTGTGCGCCTGGGCCATGCCATCGGGCATGGCCAATGCTGTGTGCATGTATGGGCACGTCTTTACATCATGCACCAAGAAAGACGAATGTCTCGTGTGTGACTCTTGCGCGGTCGAGGTAATCGATCTCTCTCGTAGTCGTTGTCGCCTCCGTAGGTACTCCTTCCTTTCAATACATGCATGTCGCGAGACTAGACTACTACCGAGTCCTGTACATGTAGAATACGGACAAGTCTTACAGCAGACGGTAGCTTTGTAGTCTAGTCTCTAGAGTTTAAGCTAAGTCTAGATGACAGACAGCACCTACCTGTAGACTATGTACCTCATCATGTGTAGTATGTATGTATACCCAAACCTCACATGCATCTTCCTCTTTAAAAGTTGCTGCTGTTTCGCGTGCCACTGCTACAATACTGTGTCCGTGTTTAGACTTAAATATACAAGCGTAGTCATCTTACAGACGCGGCCCTTCCTCCATCCTGTCGCTGTGTGTATGTATGTATGTATTGCATTAGACGAATTGGTTGCCGCAGGACATGTCATCACATACTCCGATCGCCGGGGTGAAGGNCAGGCGTAGTCATCTTACAGACGCGGCCCTTCCTCCATCCTGTCGCTTTGTGTATGTATGTATGTATTGCATTAGACGAATTGGTTGCCGCAGGACATGTCATCACATACTCCGATCGCCGGGGTGAAGGATGGGCTCAATGGCGTGCTGGCACATCACTATCTTAGCACGTTTGTCATCCCTGTCACCAACGTCAACATAATTGGGCGTCCCATAGCAACGTCAGGGGTAAGGATCATAACGGAGTCCATGAAGCAAGCCCGCGGATTCTTGCAGCAGCACGCCATCTTGGCTATGGTTGAAGCATCGAATGTACCCGCCGGAGGGCTGAGTGCGGCGGCAGCCGCGAAGCTCCAACTACGGATTCTGGACGGCGCCACAGGACGCACTGTGCTCTGCAGCTGTACGGCGGAGAGTTCACCATCCCCTGTCGCATCTATACCGATTTCAATCCGCTGGAGGAGGCCGTCGTCGCCTCAGGTAAGCAAGGAATGTGCAACAAAAGCAATATGTCCGTAGGTGTTGCCCCCCCCCCCCTCCGATTGAATAATTTGTACAGAGGGGTATGCGGGGGCTGCGGCCCATGTGCGGTGTGACTGCTGCTGCTTCAAGCTACAAGATCTACGTACAATTATCCGACCTGTACCTACATGTACCTCACCAGCAGTGCCTGTTACATGTTGCCACGTCCAGGCTTGAACAACGTCGCGCAGGCTCTGGTCCCCCGTGGCGTGTTCGACGATGTTTTCTTCATGAACCAGCTCCTCGATGGCTTCAGGAAGATGCAGGGTTCGCTTTTCCCATCTGCTAAGATGATCCAAGACGCCTACGTAAAGGTGCGTTCCGGGGACCCCCACCAGCTAGATAGACGCTGATGATGTTGGCAGGAAAGACGTCCTCCGTCGTCACGCCTCTGTTCGTGATGCCGTCGCAAAATACGTTGTCATGATCCTAACCCTNGCTACATGTTGCCACGTCCAAGCTTGAACAATGTCGCGCAGGCTCTGGTCCCCCGTGGCGTGTTCGACGATGTTTTCTTCATGAACCAGCTCCTCGATGGCTTCAGGAAGATGCAGGGTTCGCTTTTCCCATCTGCTAAGATGATCCAAGACGCCTACGTAAAGGTGCGTTCCGGGGACCCCCACCAGCTAGATAGACGCTGATGATGTTGGCAGGAAAGACGTCCTCCGTCTTCACGCCTCTGTTCGTGATGCCGTCGCAAAATACGTTGTGATGATCCTAACCCTCTGTGCGGAACTCGCCTCTGGTGACGATCTGTTGTCGGATCGCAGGGGGGTCTCTCTCCACCTAGCCAATCAACCGTCCGCCGCCATAAGGCTGCAGTTATTTGTCTGACGACGGAAGCATTCCAGGCGCTGCAGCGGATCCAAGAGAGATCTCACGAAGACCCCTCCATCCACATGGCGTCCCTTACGTGGACCACTCTCAGCCACAGCGCGTTTGGTGAAGCCGGTCAGACCAGTGGTGCGATTCAAGCTCTTATGCTCGAGGACATGGTTAGGTGAGCATTGAGTTGGCCGGCCGTACAAGACAAACATGCGTGTGGCAAAGTACCTAGCCTTAATCCCCCACCACAAACGTGAAACACCCATGTTTCTGGTCAGATATCCGGAGCCTCCCGAATTATCTGAGGCTGTCAATGTGTGTCTGGTACGGCTTTCATTTGTGCGCGAGGTTCTTCAACGCCTCCACCACCACCCCCACCCTCCCCGCCAGGTTCCGCTCCTCATTCGACAACTCGAAGGCGCTAACGGGCGATGATCTACCTGACGTCGCCAAACTCGCTCACGATGCACATGACTTCATGGAACGGACTGAGGCGGCATTCGGCGCTCGTAGCGAGTGGTCCCCCGAGCTCGCAGTGAGAGTGATAACGTCTTATACCACACGTCATGTAGCATTACAAGGCGTCATGTCGGTACACTAGGCCCGTAGCAGTTAGCCGCGAAGGCGTGACAACTGTTTTTTCTTCCACTCAGCCAAAGACCTTTTTTTTCCTTGTTCTTGCCGCGGCTCATCGTTCGATAGGCTGGTAGAAAAGTACGCCTACGTCCAGTCAGGCGCTCTCGAGACAATTGTCCGCCCATGGATGAAAAAGCGGGATGACGAGGCGAACGAACTCAGCAGCAAATTGCCCGGCGACCGACGTTTGTCCGACGACCACTTCCACGTCATCTCCGCCGCGAAACCCCTCGGCCGCATCCACAAGGTACCTACCCAGGATTACATGCCCTGTTATGTGTTGCGTATTCCCTCCTGTTTTTGGCAGCGCTGTGCAAGAGAAGGAGTCTTTTGTCTTTGGACGACTATCGAGTGTTAGGAGTGCAGCGACTTAACCACTGTGTTTCTCGTCCCATATGGCGGCCGATTCGTTTGCCGGATG